TAATAGGAAGTTTGATTTTTCACAGTCTGGATGTTTGAGCCTTTCTATCAGGAATTTTCTTTCTTATAGAAGACAGCTCTCTTCCAATAAAACCATACCCTATACCTTTATAAGTAAAAATCCAAAAGAAAATTATGTTCTCAATATTATGATGAATATGCACACTAGCTTCAGCAGGCTTACCATATTTACAGAACTAAGAAAAAGAAGCTGTAGCATTAGCTTTTGGAATAGCTTCCAAAGATTTTGCATGAATATGTTATTTTTTAATTATTACTAACATTAGCCTGTTCCTCTCCTTTTTCTGCTTACTGGAGTTTGGTTCAAAGATTTATGTAGTTCTAGTAGAGTGTCCAATACTAGGATAGTATTTGGGCTTTGGGCTTTATCCAGTAGTTTTGTAAACAAATTTGATTTAATACTAAGGCTATTACAAGATTGTATACGCTGAATAAGAAATATATTACCTAATTTTTCCAACAAGCTTTAATCCAGAGAGTTAACCTGTGATCACTGTGTAATTTCAGCTAGTATTTTAGTTGACTTTGCCCTGAATCAGATTAGGAATCTCTGCCAAAGAAAGCTATTGTGGGCAGATTTGTGGGACAAACATCAAACTTGCACAAAAGTGCTTCAAAATTACTCTGAGGTTTGCCCTAGAGAGTACCCTCAGATATTATTTATAAAGGACCAGATCAGTCAGCACAAGTAGTCCCATCAAATAAAGCCACCAAGCCAAAAACCCCACATATCAATGAGCTACTCACTCACATGGGTAAAGCAAAGTGGATATGATACTCCTTTTGTATTTTTACTGCCCTATAACCTATAAGAAGTTTCTTGTCTCTGGCTTCTCACTTATGATCAAGTTTGTCACCAGGTCTAATTCTAAAAAGATGCTGGACTTCCTGAAAGGTTCTGAAGGAAAACAGCCTCCATCTAACTTGGTTGGATCAGGCCCTTTGAGTGACTGAACTGTGAATAAGACAAATCAGGTATACAATCCTGGTATCATAAAATATGAAACTGAAATTATTCCCTGGTGCTTTCCTACAGACCACATGTTTTTAAACCTTAAAAAGATTTATTTCCCACTTTTCATGCATAATCTGCCATATTCATTTTTTGTAATATCCATAAAGAAATTAAATAGGAATTAAAGACTGGGAGCATCACATCCATCACTGTGGTACAAACTGATGCCAAATTCTAGAAGTCATTTAGCCTTTAGTGTAAAGGCAGGGGCTGTTTTCGCTTTGTTTCACAAAGAATAAAGAAAACACAATACCCCAGAAGACTTTCAGATGTCTTTTTTCCTCTCCAAAGAAAAGGGTGGATGATAAAGCTATACACACCTTTTAATCTTCCACTTAGAGTTTTTACACATATATTCCCTGGCCAAAACCCCAGGGTCTTCTCTCTCCTCTCCCCTTCTCTCACCCCCTTTCCTGCCATCTCCCTTGCTATAACTCAGCTAACCCAACAGAACCAGTCAGTTTTAAATTTCAGTTGGGACCCCGGTGACCTGTTAATGAATCTACAGAGAGGAGAAAAACTCACAGTGCTGAGTTATGCCTGGTGTTGCTAGCTGACTTGGAGTCAGAAATGCTTGAAGCGTTAACGTAATTGCAAGAATGTGAAAAATGAAGCGTTGGGCTCCTGAGCAAAGTGAAAGGTCAAAGCAAGCCCTACACAAAACAAGTCTCTGGAAGATGGCCTCATTAGACCATTAAATCAGCTTCTCCTTTTTCTCCTTTGTAAGATGTTTAGAATGTTTTATTTTTATTATTGGATATATTTAACTTTTTCTCTTTCCAGAGCAGGGGGAAAGTTGATCAGACCTACTAGATAACTTCTAATCTCTAAAATAGTATTACACAGAATTGACTTGCATTTGTGAATCTGAACTGGGATAAAGTCAATAAATGCTTGGTGGATTCCAGATCACTAGTACTGGTTTGCCAAATGATCAGTATGTTGTATAGCTTAGTTTTCTGTTGAACAAGTGAGGTGACATGTTAAGAACAACATAAACACTTACCACTAATAAAATTAGGATAATCTTTCAACATTTACTGCCTGAAGGCCCTTTCTTTAACTCTTTCAATACCAGCGTGCTTCTAACAATACCAAACATGGACTATATTAACCCTTTTGATGCCAAAGGGCAGCCATGCACTGTCATGGAGAGACAGTCCTCATAAACAGACAAAATGACTAAACCTTCTTTATTTGGTTCAAACTTTAAGAATTATGGATGGATCCTTCCAAGCAATAAACAGATCTACCTCATGCAGAGAAAGTCTGCAAAAGGCAGTCATCACTTAACCAAGTCCTTTCCATCTTCCCCCCCATCCCCCACTTCCAGAAAAATAATAATAAAAGAGAAAAACATCACAAGCTGCACATCATAGACTTAAGGCAAAAGCAGAGACCCTTGGAAAGAGTTCTCTCAAAAGCCAGAACAGACTGACTCTAATATAAATCAATCTCTGCTACCACCAGGCCTTAATGCAGAAGGCTGTAATTTACTAATGTAACACAAGACTCTCTAATGAGCTCCCATTTCTAAGAAATCCTTTGGGACAAGTGGAACTTGAAGCAGCATTTGTGGATACTCTTGACAAAACTGCAGGGAAACAAACTTGACCCAAATAACTGCACCAGAATAGCTCAAGAGGGCATCTATCCATCTTGAGACCAACTCATGGCCAGTTCACAAATTATAAGGTAAACCCTGTGCCTCTCAAGGAAGCATAATGAAAATTCAAGACATACCTCCCTCTCTTTAGTCTTTTCCAGGACTGAGAGAGGGAGAGCAATCCAGAGCCATCTCCAATGGGAATTTTGCTGGTAGAATCATCTTTCAGCTGCCAGCATCTGAGTGGAACAGTGATTTTCTACTGGACATCTGCTTCCCTCTAAAAGGTCCAACTGAGCACAAGGGGAAACATACTAGAGATGTTCTATTGTGCTAGACTGGGCAGCACTAGTGACTGACTTGGTCCTTCAGTGGTTGTTCCTCTTCTGCAGAAAGGAGTCTAACAGGTTGGTTAAAGTCATATATATTAGCAGAAAACTCAGTTTCCAATGGGAAGTTGGTGTAGTCGTTATCAACTGCTTTTTCTAATGCTTATCAATAGTTCCCAAGCACCATGAGTTACATAACAAGGGATCACAGACTAGCAAAATGTAAGATCCCTGGATATTGATACAAGGTATTTCTTTACATCAAGCATGGTTCAATGAAGGAACTTTTCTAATTTCTAAGGGGTTACTGAGGCACAGTGAAGATACAGGTCTGCCAAAATTTCATACCTGTGGATGGAATGAAGATGCTGAGGCAGACCACTCAAAGGAATAGTTTTTAAGTATGCAAATGATCATCTGCTACACCAAACATCTTAGCCACAATATACCACAAACATTTGGTCGGCAGTAAAGCCTATGGACAGCTGATAGACATAAATAGCTATTATTTATTAGCTGTGGCCAGCTAATAAACACCAATATGCTGTTTAGCAGTCAAACTCTCCCTTTCATCATTAGCTGCTGAAGCTGTAATGGTTCATGTTAGGTCTTGTACAACTCCAATCTAACCCCACGGAAAAAAATCCTTGTGACTCATGTTGGAGTTGGATCACACCCTGTGCCATGACTGCTTCCTATAAGCTATACGATTACAAATGTATAAACAACTCTTACAAATAGGAGACAAAACCAAACCACTCTACCAGAAACAAACTTTGCAAGTTTCTAGAATCACAATGGGTACAACATCAGAACGTGAAACAGACAAGGGGATTTAGCTCTGTGCCAAGCAGTGGGCCACATGACAGACATGCAATCACATATCTGCTCTGCCACCTAAGTGAGGCAAATATTATTGTGAGAAGTGGTCCACAGCATGAGACCTATCATGGCAGCTCTAGCCCTGAAGGCTTCTCCTCTCTACAGTTTTGGGACCCTGCATGGCTTGTTGGATGTCAGCCCTGTCACTTGGCTCTGCTGAGCACATGGGTGAAAACACAGATGCAAAATATTGCAGATGCACAAGAAACATCTCATGGTGGGACCATGTCATAAGACCTTATAAATGTAATATCTCTCTCACTAGCAGAAGCTTACCATGTTTACAAAGAAAAACACCTTAAACTTTGGTCTTAAAAAAAAAAAAAAGCCAACTCTGAGTCAAGATCTAAGAGTGACAGCAGGCCATAATTACCCAACTTTTAGCACTAGAGGCTTGATTCTTACACCTTCTGGACTCACTTATTCTTCTAATGAGTAGTGTAAAACACTATCATAACAAAATGACAGCCTTTGACACTCAGTCAGCACGGGTGCAGATGACCACACATAAGGTGTAGTAGGAAATAAAACAAAAAATCCTGAAAAAATAATTAAACTTCCTGAACCCTTGAGAAGATTTCACTGTATAGGTACATCGGAGATTTTGCAGCTCAGGTGTGTCTCTGTTTACCATTCAAATCCAGATTTTCAGAAGCAGAAACAAGTCTGTACAAGCAAACATTGCAAGAAACATTTTTCTGTCCAATTCAGGTTTTGCTTCTACTTTATAAAATTTAGCAGCATCATAACTTCATACAGACATTTCTTCCCTGGCTAAAGCTACAGGTCAAATTCTCTGTCTATAACTCAAAAAACTGCACCGCAACTGGAGAGTATGTCTGTCATTATATTTACTTACACCACACAAAAATAAACTGTAGATAACCAAATTTGTAAAGGAATTGGCAGAACTAATCAATTGTTGTTACAAAGCTTGTTTGAAGATTAGATATTTCACTTTGAAATAATAATAAAATGCAGCTAAGTGGGTTAAGAAAAGGAAATACCGTCTCCCTAAGTCACAGCTGATTATACTGCAAGTCTGCCACTCCATGTTTACTCTAAGGCAGATGTACTGATATAATGAAAAAACCTGGAGTTATTTTAGTCATGCCTACTTTGCGGAGGGAAAAAGTTTGACCTTTTACCTTGCTCGCTGCTGTTGTCTCCACTCTGGGAAGCGTGGCCCCCGCTGGAGGGCCCTGGTGTGCCTGCTGAGTGCGTTGAGGTTGCATCATCATGGTCTCTCCAAGATGAAGGATTCTGGTGTCAGAGTGCCAAGGAATTTTTTCCACGGTTCCCATTCCAACAGCAAATGAAGAACAGAAAGAAAACCAGGAGAAGAAGGGAGGGGGGGGAAGTATACACATTAGCATTTGTCAAATGTGCCAAACACCGATACTGTTTGCACAGTGTAATAATTCTTCAGCAAAGACAAGCAGAGGAGGTACAAAGATTTACTTGTTAAAGCACAGCATAGATTTTTTTTTTCTTTTTTAAACTTTCCAAAGAGTTGTCTGGATTTGATTGTTTGAGTAGTACTGCAGAAGAGCATATCAGGAGAGAGAAAAAAAAAGTTTCTTAATGAGCTCTACAGGGTAGTGGGAGGAGAGAGCATCAACCTGCACAGTTTATGATACTAGGTGTTCTCATTAGAACCAAAATAGTTGGTATGCAAACTGTCTTCTTACACTTTGTTTTTATAGACTGACTAGAGCAGAGAGGGGAGGAGGGAAACAGTTTCAAGAAGTACAAGAGAACATGCATGGGAGAGGAGTATGTCCTCACTCACTACCCTCTATGTAACCCATTTAAACACTGGAAAAACTTCCAGCCGATTCAAAGCTGTGAGGGGAAAAAGCAAGCTTTCCCTGAAAGACATTATGTACCAGGAAAGATGCTTCCTCATCCCCCGCCCCCCATCACCACCTTGATATGACACATTTCAAAAGACTTTCTGGAATTATCTTTCTAACAGTTCGCTTACAAGAATTGTCAAGAATAACCACCAGGTGATTATATAAAATAACATGTATAGTGATTTTTACGTAATTCTTTCTACATTACCATGCATAAAACACTAGAAAAGGGAATACAGAAGACAGACATATGAAGTTTGCAGAACTTGGCTAAGTAAGACCTTAACTACTGTACTTAAGTCACATAATTCAAGCACACTTTCTAATTTATTGGATATTGTCTTTCCCGGGGAGAGGAACTGCTATTTAAAAGGATAAGTGAGGAAAAGTTAATGTTACAGTTTAGTGCTACTTTGTTGAGTGTATTCTCCTCCTATCCTCCTCCCCTTTCCTGATCATTCCCAATACCCCGCTGTTGCTTAAAGGAAAACAGGAATTCTACTGTACAGGAAGAGCTTTATCAGCACCACATGAAGGCAGGCAAGAGATGGAATTTCCTCTGGCAGAAAAGGAGAGCAAGAACACATGAAACAGATCAGACTAGGGGCAAGACCTGTGTTACTTGTCACCTGTATGCAAGAACTTTAATCGAGTGCATTATAATAATTCAACAACAAAACAAACAATAAATCCCCCCTCAAAAAAAAAAAAAAAAAAGCTTCTTAGGTTTAATTGTGATTTAAATCTGCATCGTGAAATAATGCCCTACTATTAAAGCATAAGGAGAACTGAAGACAGCAAGTGACAAGTTTGAATACATTTTTTGAGCAGGACTGATCCTGACCTCATCTACCCCAATGTGTAGTAGGAATAAGTTCAACAAAATCAACTGATTTACCCATTGTAAAATACAGTGTAAGTGTGATTGGGACCAAGTCCCAGAATCTATACTGAAACATCTCAAAGTAATCTCCTAGCACTGATTAGTACCACATGCTCTATAGCAATGCAGAATAGAACTGCCAAATAACGGCCTGCTACAATACCCAGTAACATTAATCTGACGGGCCTGACCCAGATCGAAGCAGAGACAAAGGAAAGAGCCCATAACTTCAAAAGGTTCCCAGCAAAGTCTCATATGACCAAAGGGTAAGAAAGATCCAAATCACCTTCACCTTACAAAGACAGACACACACATGAACCCACGTACATGGTTCCATGGCAGGAAGACAGGAGTAAAATCAGAAGACAGGTCAGGATCTGAAATTTGCATAACCTGTCAGCACAACAGACAGCACAACAGTACTTATGGCACAGAATCACCACCCCCTCCAAAACCTAGAAGACTGATCTATTTTTCCTCATGCAGAATTACAAGAGGAAACAAAATGCCACACACACAAAAAATATTTTATATTCATCAAGGTTATCGTATTAATTAAGTCTCAGAAATAATTATTAATACTGTAATCTCCCACAATTTAAATGAAAATAAAACAATAAGGAAAAACAAACAAACAAAACAAACAAATGAACTACCACATTTTACCATTGTTTTACAGAGTCAGGTGGAGAGAAACACAGAGGGATGAGAAGTCTTGAAAGCTGAAGCACCCCAGATGTTATTAGAACAAAAAAGTTGAAAATAAGGTTAGAGAAAAGTTCAGATGGAAATAAAATGCAAAAACTGAGCAAGTTTCTTTACAACTTGGATTAAAACACAGTTCTGCCTATGAGCTTCTCTTTTTATCTTTGAGCTAGGAAGCCACTCAAATAGCTTCAAGCTGAAGGCAAACAGCAGACAGGAGCTCTTCAGCCCTCTGCAGCCTCTTAGCGTCAGCTGTTTGCCGGATGGTAATCAGATAAAGAGCTAAAAGAAAAACATGAAAAAGGAAAGAAACAATAGCATAGCATGAATTTAGCCCTCCAACAGCACCATGCTGGAACCTTCTTTTAGAAAAGGTAATAATTGCAACATGTTCACCTAGGCTAAACTTTTCCAGGAACATCATGAGTTATGCTAATTTGTGTATTGCAGGCTTTCCTATATTAGCGACTGTTGGAGCTCCTTATCACATGTATGAAAATTACAATAATTGACCAGTAACAATTCAGCTACGTTTTAAGGCAAATGTCATCCAAAACCTATCATACAATATTTCAAAAGCTAGATCAGCCTTTCTGTTTCAAAACCGTAACTGAATGAGACTTCCCACAGCTGAAAACACTTGCTGTCTCTACCAGGCTGAGTTGTTCTTGACCTCAGTTTGTAAATTCTGTTTTAGAAAGACAGACCATATTGATTGGGAATTCAGTGTATTTCTTGTGACACAGTTTTCTTGAGGAAGCAATTTGGCAGAATTTTGTTGAAGAGCAGAAAATAAAAGACAAGATATTTACTAGATGCAACAGTAGAATATTGGAGGAATTTGAAAGGGAGGGAAATAACTAGGCTTTAATATTATAAAAAATTACAAATAATTCTAGGAGTGGAGTTTACACACTCATAAAGAGGCAGCATTCTTTTGCTTTGGACTAAGACCATTGTTACATGCCAGTGAACTTCTCTTTTTCTCCCCTAGACTGTTTCCAACCTTGTATCCCTCACGAAAAAATTCTTGGCCAAATGACTAATAGTAAGAAGTTGTTTTATACATGTCTTCACAAAAAAAAAAAAACACCTAAACCTGGGACCAAATGACACATCTAAAATGTGCTTCACTGGAAACACTTTATTGGTACAATTTAGGTACCTAAGGATATCCTGGCATAAAGCCTGCTAATGTTAGTTGCAATTTTTCTATTAGTTTCAATGAAATTTGTATTAAGTCATCACACTGGGAAAAAAAAAAAAAAGAGGGAAAAAATAAATCTAACAGATAGCTTTAGATAAATTACACAAACTGCTAGCATGGCTTCTTGTTTTTTCTTGCAAGTTTAGTAATATACTTTGCAGAAACACATTGAAGAGTGTGGATGATGTCTGCCAAAATGCAACTGCCTATCTTGTATACGTGTGCACACTATAAAAATTTCACACACATATGACCTAAACTAATGCCAGATACCATAGAAAGTGAACATCACACTTGTATCTATTCCCAGTCATTTTAATAACTGGGAGTCAAATACGGTACTCCTCTTGCTCTTACCTAATTTTGTTAAAGAGCAGTGTTACTAGGAGAAAAGCAGTGAATACCGAGTAGAGCACAATAGAAGGAGATGGAAAATAGATACAAGAAGCTATGTCTCCAGGGAAAGTATTTTCTATTTGCTGGGCTACACACTCGCAGCTGATAATGCAAGTTGTAATTAATATAAAAGCAGGAGACAATATGGGGAAAGCTTGTACTAGCAGGGCCACAGGAGATCACTCCACTGCTATCCACTGTTTCTCATTTACACGAGCAGCCTTCCCTAGAAAACACAATTTTACCAGTATTTTTTCCCTTGGAAGCTAAAAAAAAAAAATAATAATGTAACACCACCACTGAATTTTGGTAAATCTAGAAAAGAGCGACAGAAAGGACAAGAGTCTCCTGGCATACAAAGCCTATCTGACACATTACTCTTTTGTTGATGCTGAAAATCTTTTTGAAACCACAAGAATTTTTAACCGCTACAGGATTTCTTGAACAGAGATGTTGTAACAAAGAAATTTCGTATAGGAACATCTTCTGGTAAATCTCAGTTCTTACTTTGTATGCCCAAAATTTCCTCTGGGTGAAGTCTGGCTAGTTTTTTGTGAGTGTATGTAATACTGCTAGGGCTGATTCTAATCTCATGCTGCTTTTTATGGTGATATTAAAGACTCAATTAACTATAAGGAATCTGCTTCTTATTTATAACTGGAAAGTAAAATCAACTAGGCCAGCTGATACCCATGTGAGTAAGCTGAGCAGGATTTGGTTCACAGACAATTATTGAAGTTTTGAGTATACAACTCTGACAGGATCAGGCCCCGACATAATTTTATCAGATGAAATGGACAAAATAATTACCTTGAAGGAACAAATAAAATACAAAGTGCTTTCATAAAAGAAACTACAATGGCTAGAGCTTATTCTTTGTGAAGGTGGTTGGACTCAAAGGTCTGCTGGATTAATTTTGCAAACACATAACTGAACTGAACTATTGACACAGATGGTGTTACCATCCCCAAATACAAACCAAATCCTGTTCACCTTGTTCTTACAAGTAACACCTGTAAACACAGTGGAATGACTGACATGACTGATAACACCAAAGACCTGTTTCTAGGTACCACTGTATACAAAAATACGTTAGACTATGCAGGACAGGGACACCTATACCTGCACATGTGTTTCTGTGTGTGTATCTATGTCTGTCTACATTTTGTGAGTATAAAGTTCAGGATGGTGTCTTAGAGACCATGTGGAGTGC